TTTTCTCTTAATCCAACTATTAGACTCAAAATCCACAACTTTATAAGATTTTCTAACACTCCACATCCTCTATTTAAAGATTCCATTCCACAATTTTTGAAATCCCCTTTTCAAGACCATTTTTTTTTGGAAAACTCCCACACTCATTCGAAAAATGTCGACCTCCCGTGGCAAAGGCAAGAGGCTCAAGCAAACTGTTCGATGACGTCTTTCATCTTCATCATCCAAAGAGGAAGACATGGACACCGAACCCGAAGCAACGCCGTCGAATCCCCTTGCAAAGGCACCCATTCTCTTAGGTAAAAATGTCGATCTTACCTCTTTCATTTTTGGTACCCTCGTATTTAAAATAGAGGACTACATTATGAATATAGGATGGACTTCCATTTGCACAATTCATGAAAATGCATATCCGGACTTGATTCGCACCTTTTACAAAAATATGACCGTTAATCCCCGTTTGGGAGATATTTCGTGTTTTATAAAAACTTTTCATGTCACGGTTTCAAAACCACTCATTCCCACTATCCTTGAACTCGACCCTTGCGATATCCAAAAATTTGTGCATAAAATCCACCATATGGTGGAGGGGTATAACCCGACCAACGCATGTCATCGTGTAACGGGTAAAGATTTTGAAAACATCACCAAAATTACGACAAACCAACTTAATCTCCCATGCAAAGTTTTACAAAATATTATTGCAAATGTTATTTTACCAAGAAGGGGCATCGGGATGAAGTAAATTATTTTGATCTCTTTCTCCTCGACTCTTTCCTTGTTGGTTGGCGAGTTGATTTCCCGATTATTACCTTAGGCCTTATGAAACTCATTCATTCCTCACGCATATCCAAGGTACTCCCTATGGCATGATACTCACTAAGATTTTTAAACACTTCGATGTTCCTCTTCACGATGAAGCCTTCATTAAACCCCGACCCACCGACACCATTAGTTCCAACACACTTAAACGAATGAAAATTGTTAAAAAGGATGGACAATGGGTGTCTGAAACAAAGGGGTTCGATTCGACTTCGGGGCCTTCTACCCTATCATTTGATGACGAGGACGTTGATGATGAAGACGACGATGATGATACACCTCCTATGACACCTCCAGATCGAGAGCCTCCCGACCCACTAGATAGGGCCTCAATGAGGACCAACTATCACTTTTGAGCGACCGGATTAACTCCCTTACTACGACAGTCGACGGGATGAGCGAGATCCTTACTCATATCCAGACGCAGCAGGCTACGCTTTAGGCCCAGGAAGACGCGATCCAGGCACATCAGGATGTGATCCTTGCACAGTAGGCCGAGATGCAGGCTCAGTAGACCGCCTTCTTTGCCGACTTCCTTACTCGATTTTTGCATCCCCCTCCTCTGGCTCCGTAGTTTTTCATTTATGTCTTCAAATTGTCTTAAAACTATGGTTGAACGTTTTGATTATGTACTAAACTTTGCCTAGCTTATGAAATCTTTATCCGTTATTTCGTTTGTGTTCTCTGTTATTGCTTCCTTTTACATGTTTCCATACTTTTTACTTATGCCAAAAGGGGGAAGAGATAGAAAATAGTAAGATTTGCATGATTATATTTAAATAGGGGGAATGCATGCTAAATAGATAGGGAGAATATGTGTATGAAATTGTATTAACTATCAATTTGTTTTGAATCATATCTTGCAAATCATATTTGTGTTTGTCTCGTTTTGATTATGACAAACAAATTATGTCTATTACTAACAAATTGATCTTAAGTGTCCATAGTGATCGGTGCTCAACATTGTAAAAGGATCGGTGCTCCTTGGTTGTTAGTCATCGAAAGCTTTGTAAAGGGTTGGATTGCACCACAAGTCAATCAACATAGTGAAATTGACCTTGCTCATATCGGAGAGCTTGGTAATGGAGGACATAGATCATTGCATTGGATCGAACATCCATAATTATACCGTTTGCA